CCTCAAAACTCCTGCTTTCTCCCGTGTCAATCCATGTCTTTCTATTTGCCTACGTCTATATCTGTCTGTCTCTCCAATCTCAATCCATTCCTTTTTATCTGTCAGTGTCTGTCTACGACTGACCATCTGTGCGCCTGATTCTGGCTTCCTTTTTCCAATCCATCTTGATACATCTCGGCCTGCGTGTCCTGTATGTTTGGGTCACTCTATGTTTCACAGTTTCGCTGCCTTTTAATTGTTTGGTCTGTTCTGAATGTGCGTTTTTTTTTTCTACTGTCATTTTGTTTGTAGCGTTTTCGCTTCTTCCTCTTATTAAAGTGCAGACTCTTGCTTGTTGTCTCTCCCTCTCGGCCTTTCCCTTTCTGTCTGTCTATCTATTTAATGGAACACCTGCCCACTCACACCTTTCCTCACAGCTGTCCTCTCCTCACACACCTGTCCATTCACACCTGCCTGTCGGCCTATGTGTGTGTTTTTGCGAATGTGTGCAAACCTTCATAGGCAAAGGCAAAGAAAGCGGCCCATGTGAGCACACCTGTCAGACCTCGCTACAACCCTGCAGTGAGTGTGTTTGTGTGTGTGTTTGAGAGGAGCATCCTGCCAGGAGAAGCAGGCAGATGAGAAGGAAGATATTTCTTCAGCAACATCTGCTGCAATGTGCCTCCTCTTGAGATGGTGGGTGTGTGACAGTGTGAGTGTGTGTGTGTGTGTGTGGGTGTATGTGCGTGTGTGTATGCATGTGTGTTTGGGGGCTCTTATCTCACAGTGTGTTGATGGGTAATGGCAGGCGTCTCATTATGTCCAGGTTGCAGGCTATTGTTGTTTGTAATGTGCTCTAATTTATTCTATCTACAACTGTGAACATCTCCAACACACACACACACACATACTGTATATACAGTAGATAGACACTGCTGTGCTCACACACACACTCACACACACACACAGTATCACATATACACATTTGTTTTCTTGGTTCACAGTTGAGGTTGACATGAGTGTGAGCTTATGGATGCTGGCACTATGATTGCCTAAATGGACCCTCTATTATTACACAAGAGGCCAACTCAGCAATCAAATAAAAAAAAGGGGGCTGTTGGCTTACCGTGCTGTATGTGTGTGTGTTTTTCCTTGTTTGTCGACACCATTAGTAAGCAGCTGTGTGAGATGCAGGAGAGGAAAAAACCTTGTTAGCGTATGTAAACAGATGTTCTCTCCAACCGCCAGAGAAACCAGAGATAATTACGCACACACAGGCACACACACACACACACACACACACACAAAGAGGTCATATTGTGTGTATATATATATATATATGCCTGTTGTGTGTGTTTTAGCATCTGTTTACAGTCTGTGTATGTTTCTACTTGTAACAAACGTATTTGTGAGATTTGTCAAAGTGCTTTGGCTGAGGTGACATCTTTTCACATATGTGCTCAATCTGTGATCCCCCCCCCCCCCC